ATTATAAAAAAATACATTTAACTTATAATCTAAAAGTACTTCTTAAAAAAATCCTACTAATAATAATAATAGTAAAAGAATAATGCTACAGGATCGATTAGTCCTATGGGCTTGGTCCTATCACATTTTTATTTTTTGTTCTTAAAATCCTTTTTTTTTAATTTTATTTTTAAATCCAGTATTTTTTTATTTAAATTATTAAACACTTAAATTTTTTAAATATTAAAATTTAAAGATTTAAATTTAAAACATATTAAATACTAAATTTTAAGAAATTTAAACCCTAAAACTATAACATATTAAACTCAAAAAATTTAAACTCTAATACTTTAAATGTAAAACTTTAAAATAATCTAAATATTAAATCTTAAAAACTTTAAACTCTAACATTCTAAGTACTAAATCATAAAAATTTCAAAATTTAATAATATAAATTTAAATCAATTTTAACTTAAAAAAATAAAAATAAATTTATACTTGACCTAAAAACTCATTGGCATTAACCAGTCAACCAGTGCATTCCCCACTCTTGTGCTGCTTCGAAACCGCACCTTATCAAAATGTTCAAAAAATAAAAATAAAAATAAATTTAAATGAAAAGAATTTATTGATGGCACGCAGGCCGGCCTCCCTCGGTTGGTCGATGGTCGGTCCCATAGCGTTTTCCTAATAAAAAATAAATAAATTGTAAGTTGTTCTAACGATGGAGTGGAGCACCCTCGTGGTGCTCATCAATGCAAGAGCATCGCCATGCTACTGCGATCCAGATTTTGATGCCACGTTTAAAGGCTACAATCAAAGTGTGCACTTGGAGTCTTGTACACAATTAATGTGCTCGCTAGAAACCGTAGAAGACAGCCAATTAATTAAGATATTAAGGAGTAATTAATAGTGTTAACGAAGTGATTTAATTATTAAAAATTTATAATTTTAAATTAAAGATTTTAAATTTAAATTTTGAATAAATTGATAAAAATTAGATAAAAAGAAGAGTTATTCTTTGTAATATAATATATTATTATCAAATATAAAAAAATAATAATCATGTTTTTTTATAAAAATAACAAATTTTAAATTTAAATTGCATAACATATAAGTAAAATGAAAAATATATTTATTTTTTTTAAAATATAAAAAAAACTATTATTTTAGAAAAAAATTTAAATTAAAAAATATCTACTATTTTAAAAATGAGTAAAATAAAATTTTTTTTTTATATTTTAAATTAAAAACAGGTAGGACATAATTTTGCTGGGTTTTCCTAAAAATAAAGGTAACAAATGGCATTTCCTTTCAATTCTCTTCTTGAAAATGATTTTATTTTCGAGTTTATTTTTATTTAGACCATGTGCCCTGTTTATATAGAAATTTGGAGATAACAATTAATGGTGTTACTTAAACGGCTAAGAATAAGTATTTAGTAAATTTATTTATTTTGAAACTATTATAAATTAAGTGTTTTATAAAACTTTTGTTTAGTGGTATAAGACTAGTAAATAGCTGTTATAATCAAAACCGTTGGCGAATGAACCCAGGCTTGGGTTCTTTGGAACCCAACGCCTAGGTTCCAAGGAACCCCGCACTTGGGTTCGAGCAAACGCAGTGCCAAGGTTCGAACGAACCTCATGCCAAGGTTCAAATGAATGAACCCAGCGCCAAGGTTCCAACGAACCTCGCGCCAGGGTTTTAACGAACCTCATGTCTGGGTTCCAACAAACCCCACGCCAGGGTTCAAACAAACCCAGTGCCAAGGTTCCAAGGAACCCAACGGCGGTTGCTAGGTTTGATGGGTTCTAAGGGGGAGGGGTAAAGAGAAAGGAAAAGAGAAGGAAAAAGAAAAAGGAAAAAAAAAAAAGGAAAGAATTTTTTAAGTTTTTTTTATTTTTATATTATTTTTTTTGACACTTGTATTAATATTTTGCCACATCATCTTGTAACAATGAATTAACAAAACACATAAAAAGATTTTTAACGGAAGGACCAAATCAGGGTCAAAATGGTAAACAGTAAAGATCAAATCAAAAATTTTTTTAGTTTAGAAATCAAATCATAGATCTTTACAATAGTTTAGGGACCAAAATAGGATTTTAACCTAATAATAAAATAACAAAAAAATTGGATCTGCACTTCCCCCCTAATCGTCGCTCCTCCCTAAAAAAAAAAAAAAAAAACTTTGTGCTTCTTTTCAGGTTAAAGAAAAATTATTAGTTTTTTCCTCCTCTCTTTGGCAAAAGGCCAAGAAAAGAGAAGGAATTAAAATTGGGGGTAAGAGTGTAAGACAGTCTAACCAATTAAAAAGATGTGGAATTAACAAATAAGGACGTGGCAATAACTTTTTCTTACAATGGTACTCTAATTCGTGTATTTTTTGTATGAAAATTATAAATTAAAAATATTTTTGAGTTTTTCATGACAAATATAAAATTTAAAAACTTGAGGGGCGCAAAAAACTTTCCCCATGCTGAAAGGGTGCTCCTCTCAAAATTCGCAACGACATGCACTTAGACTGCTCGGTTTGTTTTGATAGTGTTAATTAGGGGTGTTCATCTCCGTCGCAGACTCCATCATTTAGTGCTTCCTGTGCAAGGAAATGTGAGGTGGACAGGAATCATGTTTTTGTTACTTGTACGTTCTCTCGAAAGGATTTGGATGAAATGACTTAAATGGTGGAGTGTGTCTTCTGCAATTCATAATTTCCTGACTCAACTTTTGAGAGTCCTACCTTTTAGTCTGCACTATACTTTTTAAAGTGCAATTAGGATATCAAATTAACTCATTTTTGTTCATTTTTTATAGCAATTTGAGGGACTATGCCCAAGGAAGAGAGGTGAGGAATGGATGATTATTACTAGTTTCTCTTATCAACTTTGGTAGATTTTTTTTTGTCTAATAAAATAAAAATATACTTGCTCCATCTCAAAATAATTATCTTTTTTATTTTGAATTTGTCTTAAACTAATTATTGTTTTTTTATTTTTTTTTAAGGTATACAAATATTTTTTCTCTAGTTTAACTGTATTATTATGCATTTATTTTGATTAATTATCCTATCATAAAAATCTAACTTTATTTGTTAGTTTTTTTCCTATAGTAATATAGGTAAATACATGAATTATTTTCAAATTCTTAATTCAAAGAAAAAGTCAAAAAGTAACGGTTATTTTAAAACAAGTGAAGTAATCATTAATTAATAAAATTTCATATTTATATTGAAATTAATCATTTTCAAAATAATCTTAAAGACTTACTCTTTACATTAACTTGATGCATTTAAATAAATTAACATTTTTTAAATATTGAATCTAGGACTTTAATTTTTAAATATGATAATTGTTTCTCCAAAAATCCTCTAGTTGCCTCGCACGTGTGAAATCTGGATGCGGATGTACCACTTATTTTGCTAAAAGTAAGAAAGAAGAACTTTCCCAACGACTCTCTCCTTCCTCACGGTCGACCTTCGTACAGATGACGGGAAGAACGTTGGATTAAAATTAAAATCTGTGCCTGTAGACGATTTGCAAGAGGGAGGGATACTTTCCTGCAGAATGGGTTATGAAATCTGTCTTAGACAACTCCAATAACTTAAACAGTACCGTGACTTAAAGTTAACAAATCCTAATTAAATTAAATAGCATGCAATTTAAAGTAAATTTACGAGAACAAGATGTACCCAAATTAAATTAAACATGTTTATTACTAAATTAAAATGTTATTTACTGACAAATCTGGAAATTAAACTACTGCAGAATTGGAAATTTAAACCTAATTAACACTAAAATTAAACATGAACAGTGAATAAATTAACATGCTTGAAATTAAAAAGAAACGTGAATGTCATATAAGTAATCATTGAAGAAATGTTACTTATCATAAATATTAAATAAATTACAGACAGAAAAGGAACAGTATATTGACTAAACTTGAAAGATTGAAGTTCATTGCATGAAACGAAATTGTTGAGGTGAATACATGAATTAGTTTATCTACTGAAATGATGAAAACCAACCTAGATCTATTGGAAATTGCGCTAAAATATGAAATCTGTAAGCAATTGCAAAGAAAATAAAGTCTAAAAATTTGCAAATGTTTGAGTAGAGCAGGCCATGTGTTCTCCCTTCCAAAATTTCCTTTTTGTTTTCCTTTAGCCGGCAGTAACTCTCTACTTTTTGCAGTTACAAAGTTATGGGTGGTTTCTTGAGATAGTGGGATAATTCAATAGTTGATCTGATCAAATCTCTTTCTAGATTTTCACCACTTGTGCCTTATCAAATAATTGCCTTTTACAACTGCAATCTCCTCCTAAATTTCAGCTAAAACAGTCCCTTTTTTATTTAAAGAGGTAATTACATGGTAAAATATTATTTTTATCTCCTTTTTTGCCAATGTGATAGTTAATCTATCATGGAGTCCAGAATAGCAAATCTGACATGACATAATCTCCTCCATCCATATAAAAATATTTTGACACGTGATATGATATTAAATTTTTACAATTTATGATGTAAACAATAACACTTACTTTCAAATTGATTCAATCCTCATGTTGGCATGGATTATTATTTGGTCTATTGGATTGTGGTATGTGGTTATGCCGTAAGAAAGCAGCAATCTTCAGCCTACCCCTGGGAGCGTTCAGAGTTGACCAATGGCTAGGAGTGACGATCATTGCGAGCTCATTGTGCAAGGAAATCTTATAGGTATAGCGTAATTGTGGTTAAAAAAAAATGAGAAATTCAATTAAAAGAATAAGAACTAGAAAATGTCAATTACTTAAACAGTGGTAATTTTTCTTTTAATTGGAGCAAAAAAATTCTAGATTTCAGTAATAGGAGTATTGGTAGCGAGAGTAAAAAGATGGAAGACGTTAGTTTAGTTACGCAATCCTAAATTAAAAAAAAAAAAAAAAAAAAAAAA